AGAGTAGGTTTAGGTTGGATATTAGGAAGAACTTCTTTACCGAAAGGGTTGTTAGGCATTGGAATAGGCTGCCCAGGGAAGTGGTTGAGTCACCATCCCTGGAGGTCTTTAAAAGACATTTAGATGTAGAGCTTAGTGATATGATTTAGTGGATGACTTGTTAGTGTTAGGTCAGAGGTTGGACTCAGTGATCTTGGAGGTCTCTTCCAACCTAGATGATTCTGTGATTCTCTGATTCTGCTCTAATACTTTCATATTCTTCTTGTGCTGGGGGCCCCAGAGCTGAATGCAGTGTTCCAGGTGGGGTCTCACGAGAGCAGAGCAGAGGGGGAGAATCACCTCCCTCAACCTGCTAGCCATAGTAAGGTTAGGTCACACTAGATCATCTCCTAGGTTTCTGTACTCCAAGGACTCTGGAACTGTCTGTGCAGTGGGACAGGACAGAAGGACTGTCACAAGACAGGTGCAATTCCAGCAGTGCCTATTGCTTCTGAGTTATTGAGCTCATGTTCTGCCATTTAATTCCATTGTGTTTTCAGGTTGTCATTGTATTTTCACCTAGTACATTTAAAAAAAATACTGATTCTCAGAGTGTATAATGATGATAATGATAAAATAGAAGGAGAAGAAGAAGGAGAAGAAGGAGGAAGAGGAGGAGGAGAAGACCATTAAAACTTTCATTCTGATTTTCTTTGACAGTCTACATAGCAATATCAGTACATACATGTATTGTAACAAAGAACCTTGAATTCCCTTCACTTTATGGAAGCACTAACTCTTTTTATATAGTGACATGAAATATGAGCCTTTTGTTTTCAATTATATTCATCTAAAATGAAAAGTCTTTCTTTCAAGTTACACCTCTTTGAAAAGCTTAGGATTTTGACCTGGTAGAATACAGTGAACTACATTTTTTCCCTTACTAGCACACACAGAAAGGTTTCTGGTTTACCTTGACTTTGTTAGTTAATCTTTTCCAGGACTTTCCATTGCTTCTATGGTTTCTGTGCAGATTTAAAATTCTCATGATACACAACCTTTCTTTGGTAGGTTACAGGAACTGTTTTTGTTGTTTTGTTTTTGTTTTGTTTTGTTTTCTTTTGTTTTGTCAGATGAATTCTGGTAGAATTAGAACAATTATGTCTTTTATATGTTACATAATCATCTCTGAGGTATTGTCATGTGAAAAAATCAAGCACATACCTGAATTACATATTATTACATAACATGTTCTATGGCAGTTAGCAAAAGATCTAAAATCTGCTTTTTTTGTGCTTTATATGCCTGAATTGCTTTTTATCAATTTCCTTGTTGTTGTTAAAATCTAAATAGTTTATATAACACTACTAGCTGCATATCATTCTCACGACCAAATCTTACATTACTTAACAGCAAAAGGCCCAAAACTATCTCCATAGATGAGAATATGGAGCCAAGCCCGACAGGAGACTTTTATCCCTCTCCAAATTCACCAGCTGCGGGGAGTCGGACATGGCATGAAAGAGATCAAGGTGAGTAGTATGGGACTGTTTTACCTCCAAGTATATTAAAATATGCAATAAATCTCTGCATCCATCTTACTATTACCGCAATAAAGTAATGGGTTTTTAGAATAATTATTATTTTTTCTGTGAAATATGTGTATTTGCTGGTTTTGTAAATGTAGTATAAAAAAACACATAATTTTTCCATCTGGTGTTTGCCTTGTCCACTGTTTGTGAAGATGTGTTATAAGTGAGGTACTTGATACTGTGTAAGCTGTAATCATCCCAACAGGATTTTGATTAAAACAATTTAAGTGAGGAACAAAACATCTCCATACAGTGGTTAAGACAGTAGTAGTTTACTCAGTTTTTGTTTTACCATGATGCAGACTTCTGTATGTGTGTTTTGTCTACACTCTGTGACTCAGGATAGGTCCAATAGGCCCCCAAGAAGCCCCAGCATATCTCTGGGGGACTATATCCATATGCTAAAGGGTGTTGATAAATCCTGTGCTGTGTGTTGGGTTATCAGAAGTGAGGAACGTGTTTGTTCAGAGACGAAAATGATGACTGTCAAAACAGTAAAGTGAACTGTCATAACACTCACTTATAAAGCTTGCTGCTTTATAAACCTTGATGTCAGTGTCTTTCCCATCACCTTTGTGATGTGAAAACTTATTTAAACTTACACGTATCTGAACACTGTACTGGTTAATGTATCCTGTGGCTGAGATGCTGTAGCTCTTTGGACGATCTGTGAAAATGTGCATCACAGTATGTAAAAGTGAAATAGAGAAGATATGTCGCTGCTTCCTTTGCCGATCTTCTGTTGTTTGCCCTTCTTTTCATTATGCTCACTTTTGGTTTCAGTTCTTCAGTGCAGATCAATCCTTTGGGCTTCCCTCATTTTTGTATTGATTTCCGACTTTGGTTTGTTGTTTGTTTTATTTTTAGGTTATTGTTGAGATTTCTCTTATATCTACGTGTGCAAGGTAGCATGTGCTCAGTATTTGATTTAGTTGCTTTTTATTTTCACATTTTTGTTACAGCTGGTCCACTTTTAATATGCTTCTTCCTACTCTGACCTGTGTTCTCATCACTAGGCTGTTATTCTCACACAGTTTGCTTGTCTTTTTTATCCTTCTTCTTCTTCTTCTTTTTTTTTTTTTCCATAATTTTTATTTTCCTTTTGGAGGTTCTTTCTTACTTTTATCTGTTTGCAGCATTCACTGTTGAATTTTGAAAAAAATCTTGCCTATACCTGGGAATAGCTAAACTTAAGAACAGCAAAACAGCAGATTTATCAGCTAGAGAGTTTTCTCCTTGTGCAAGATATTCTCCTCCTTCACTGAAGTATTCTCTGCATATCCCACTTGTGAAGTGGTATCCCTTTGTGCTTCTGCATGAGCTGTAGGAATTTCCAAGAAGTGCAGTGGTGCATGGACAGCTGACGGAGCATTTCACAGATGCTATCTATGGTTCCTCTTCCAGCTATCTCAACTGTTTTTTAGCTCTAAGATCATTTTGCTTGCACATAACTTTGCTCTGTGAATGCTGAATTTGTTCACTTTTACCTGCTTGTTTCATTTTGCATTTATCAGCAGTGAACAATGTTATTGTTCAGTTTGCTTAAGTGTATTTATAATGAACCTTTACTTAATTTCTGTGACAGTGGGTAGCTAGATTTCTGGACTGAAACAACCTTTGACTCTATGTTTACAAAGACAAGTGGGAAAGAAGCACTTCAGGCAGTGTATATTATTTTTACTCACTCAAATTTACATTCCTTACTGAGTGTCCTCTTCTGCAGCACTGCTGGGCATAGTGGAACTTTATCAGATCCCTGGTAGTGAGGTTGTCTTAGAGGCAATATGAGTGTCTTCCATTCCTGTGAAGGCATAGGTAGGCCACTGTCCAGTCTGAAAACGATCATACTGAAGGAAACATAAACATTTTTGGTTTTTGTTTGGCTCCAGACAGTTTCTGAGGTTATCCTACTGCTCCAGGAAACATCGTAAAATAGTTCAAAATACCTACCCTTGGTAACTGTTCTCATGTGTAGTAGGCATGGAGCAGCAACTGGTATATTTCTTCTATTTCCAATATGACAGATGCTTGATACTGTTCTGATGATAGCACATATCTGTGTAAAGCTCCTTTCACGGTCAGAGGTCTTATCAGGGTATGACATTTGTGAAAACTTACATTCTGTTTTCCTATGCCTGTTAGTGCAAAGAAAATTTTGGTGGGTTCTCTAGGCCAGAGAATTCACTGGTACTTCCTCCTTTTTTCCCAAGGAAGGAGGGAGATCTCCATTTCATTTGAAGCTAGGCGTAAATGAAAAAAAAGAAGACATTTGGAACTATAATTGTGATCAACCCATGTCAATTGGGGATGTAGTCCCAACAGACACTTTTTCCAGGCATCCCACAAAGGTCATCAACACTAGAAAAAGAAACCGAGCCATACATGTAGTACCTACAAATGATAATATGCAGAGCTATCGTGGGTTTGGGTCAATAGCTTCTGTTTCACTGTAATGCAATGTTAACTTTTCTAGGAGAAATAAAATCAGAAATAGTATTAATTGTGGAATGCTTTGGGTGGGAGGGAATATTAAAGATTATCTAATTCCACCCCCCCCTACCATGGGCAGGGATATCTTCCACTACTACAAGTTGCTCAAAGCCCCATCTAACCTGGCCTTGAACACTTCCAGGGGTGGGGCATCCACTGCTTCGCTGGCCAACCTGTGCCAATGCTTCACCACCCTAACAGTAAAGAATTTCTTCCTATTATCCAATGTAAATCTATCTTTTTATTATTTTTTATTATTATTATTATTTTAGTTTAAAGCCATTACTCTCTGACTACATTCCCTGATACTAAGCAACAACATTACTGATTTCAGTTTCATTGTCTTTGTTTTGAATGTGATGGAAAAAAGCATCTAACTTCTGACCTTTTTTTATAAAAAAATAAATATCATTTTTTCGTTTGCATACTTAAGTGTAATGTATTTTCATAGATATAGAAATTAAATAGATTTGAAAGATTCTTCTATCATGAAAGCTATACATATCTTTATTTGGCTGCATTTGTAAAAGAGCAGAAATGACATTACAGTGATAGTTTGGAACAGGAGATAATGTCAGTAAGGGAGTAGTAGGTAGCTGAACCAGGCTGGCATAGTGTAGTTGAATTATAAGTTTCATTTGGTATCTAAGAGTAATCTAACATTTTGATAGTCAGAAAGAAGGGCACAAAGCTTAATGGATACCATAGAAATATAATGAGATTAAAAATATGGCAGATGAAAATTTGCAGTGGTGTGGAAAAGATCAAACTTTTACTGCTGTGAAAAATAAATATCATACAGTTCAGTAGGTAAGTAAACATCAGAAGAGGTGACTGTAAAAGTGATTCTCATAGAATCCTTATAGTTTCTACAACTTCTCTAATGTGTAGGTATGGATCATGAAGTGTAGGCACATGACCACCATTTATGGTTGGGCCAGCATGTGGCATTTGTGAAGCTAAGAAAAAGAAATATAACCAAACAAAATCTTCCTCAGACCACAGTCTACTATCAGTTGTAGAACTTCATACTTCGTCCTTTTGCTTTTAACAGTCTTCTTCCTGGCATACTACTTCCATAGGTGTTCTGATAGTTTTCCAGATGTATTTCTCAGAAAATTTTGGGAGAGGTGGCTGTTTGAAAATTCAATTCTGAGCAGAAATTAATAAGCATATCTTAAAAAAAAAAAAAAAAAAAAAAAAAAAAAAAAAAAAAAAGAAACTATAAGGGTGGTCAAAGCCAATCCATAAAGGATTATGAGCTTAATTTCCCCAAGCTCTAGTATTGCTACGTATGCCATTATCATAGAATCATAGAATGTTTTGAGTTGGAAGGGACCCTCCAGGGTCATTGAATCCAACTCCTGCTTCCACACAGGACCACCCAAAAATAAGAGCATGTGACTGTGAGCATTGTCCAAACACTTACTGAACTTTGGCAGGCTTCGTGCAGTGACCACTGCCCTGGGGCGCCTGTCCCAGTGCCCAACCACCCTCTGGGTGCAGAACCCTTCCCTAACCCCCAGCCTGACCCTCCCCTGTCCCAGCTCCATGCTGTTCCCTCGGGTCCCATCACTGTCCCCAGAGAGCAGAGCTCAGCGCCTTCCCTCATGAGGGAGCTGCAGGCCACCATGAGGCCTCCCCTCAGCCTGCTCTGCTCTGGGTTGAGCAAACCAAGTGAATTCACGTGCTCCTTAGATGTCTTGCCTGCCAGATCCTTCACTATATTTGTAGCTCTCCTTTTGGACCCTATCTAATAGTTTTATGCCTTTCTTGTATTCCGGTGCCCCAAACTGCACACGTACTTGAGGACAGGCTGCATGAGCGCAGAGCAGGACAGTCCCTTCCTTCGACTGGCTCACAGTGCCATGCCTGATGCACCCCAGGATAAGGTTGGCCCTCCTGGCTGCCAGGGCACACTGCTGGCTCATGTTCAACTTCTTCTTGACCAAAACCCCCAGATCCCTTTCTGTGGCACTACTCTCCAGATTCTTATCCCCTAGTCTACACATGTAGCCGGGTTTCCTCTCCCCAGGTGCAGAATCTGGCAGTTGCTCTTATTAAAGTTCATAATGGTGGTGGTAGTCCAGCTGTCCAATTTGTCAAGATCTCTCTGCTAGGCCTCTCTATCCCTGAAGGAGTTCACAGCTCCTCCCCATTTAGAGTCATACACAAACTTACTCACTAGACTTCAAGTTCCTACAGCCATATAATTTATGAAAATATTACAGAGAACTGGCCCTAAAATGGAGCCATAGGGAACCCCACAAGTGAGTGGCCACCAGCTTTATCTAACCCTTTGAGCCAAACCCATTTTTATATTATTCTCAAATAAAAACATTAAAATTCGTAACCAAAATCAGTTTTAAAAATAAATTCTAATTTGTAGTTATTAAAGCGAGATTATAGCTACTAATGGAAGAAAACAAAAGCTTATGAAGTCATTATAC